GTAAGCACGATAACTATCATTTGCTGGTTTGCTCATAAATCTTGCCACTCTTCACCACAAAAGCGTGTTAGTTATCCGCTGCGTTCTTCGATCCATTTGTGACCTGAACATTCTAGATACTTGTGGTGTGTGATCCATCATTTGCGACTTGAACAATTTGTGTCAACATCTAGCTAGGTGATCGTTGGATAGTTACCCAGAAGACTTAGCAGAATCATACGGCAGGGAAGCAAGCAAGTGTGATAGGAGTAGTTAGTATGAACGAATCGTTTCCACGCATATGGAACCGTACCATTGGGTTGAATAAAGGTGCTGGGTGTTTGGAAGAATATAATCGTTTGATTTATAAGCCGTACTTTTTCAGCTAACGAACAGTATTTTTTATCACAACAAATCAGCTAACAGTACTTTTAGTCATAGCTTATAACCAAGCGAACAGGGCAATAATCTATCCAAGGCCCAAGTGCTAATCCTCTTTTCCCATTGCACTCCTCCTACTTGAGAACGTAGTTCAGCATCGATCTTTCTGCCGCAGATTCTCCACTGGCTGTTGTGTGCTGTGTGCTTGGGTCAGCTCAGTTCAGCTAGCTCCGTCGTGATCGTGGGATTGCTGAGTCAACTGGGGAATAAGAATAAGATAACCATGCCTCTGCGGCTCTGCCCAACATAACCGGATCCATTCCATATCATCACATAAAGAGCATCGTCTTCATGGTTTGTTGCGTCAGTTAGCAGCTTAGCGTTCGTGGCTTACCGTCGATCACGCTGCGCTAACTAAGCAGCTGCTGTCCACGTGTAACTCATGACAGCTTTACACCTTTTTCCTCTTCTCATGAATACAAATGGCGCTATATTATTCTTGATGCTGCTCCTGCTACTCGTTTTTTTCCCCGATCATCAGTCAACTCTGAAATTTTATTTCCACTTTTTGATGCGGCACTTTTCATAATTAATTCTTTTATTAGAAGCTCCCTAATCGTCTGTTGGATCAAGAATAGCTAACTGATTCCGCTGTTTAATTAGATTGTTGTCCACGCCTGTTCTACAGACTACGTACAGCAAGCAGTAAAATACGCAGGCCCGTAGGGCAGTGAGATGCAAACCGTTGATAGCTAAAGATCGGGTTTCCAGTATGTTCCTGCCGTGTTCACGTTTTCGTGTCCCACAACAGGCCACAGTCTGCTGAAAATGAAAGCCCTGTCCTTTATACTCCTTAAAATAAAAATAACAGAAAAGACCCTAAGCTTTTGTTGAACGTCTCTGGTTACCCTGCTGTTCCCTTTTCTTCACTCACGTGCTCAATTGACAACCACGGATTGGCTGCATCCATAAACTTTGTAACATCTCATAGCACAGCTCTCTCATGAGTGATTGTCATGTTTAGACGCCAAAGCTAATGGTTTCCATATTAAAGGTCTATTTGTTTGAGCTGTAGAGCTTTTTGTTTTTTAGCTTAAAATCTGGCTTTTGGCTTCTAATTGTTGACTTTTTGTTATTGACTTTTGTAATAAACTGTTAGCCTCTTAGCACAACACCAAATTAAAAGCTAGAAAAACTCTTCTCAATGTGCTTTTTAATTTTTAGTTCTTTTTTTTTTTGAAAAAAAACAGCTCAATAGCTAGGCTTTTTTTCCCCAGGTTTTAGCTTGTGGCAGAAGCCAGCAAAAAAATTAACACAAATAGGCCCTAAAGTTGTATATTGGTATCAACATTCAAATTATTGTCAGCTCAATATATGTATACACACACTTTCCAAATTTAACTAGCTTAAGGAGGCCAGATACATAGAACTAGATGGTAGAAATGAAAAGAGCGGTCTCTATTCAGGTGCAACAACACTAGCTCCGACCTTCATAAGTCCACTCAAAAGGGCTTTGTATGTAAGATGATAAACTATACTAGCTTCTATGGGTGTATATTGTACCTTTATTTTGCCATATTGACATCGCCTCCATTCTCACTCTCATATGGCTGCCACATATGGTGCAATAACCATATGAAAAGAAAATTGAGGTAAGTTAGCCTCACCATGTACTCTATTTATATTGCCGATTGCAAGTGCTTTTCAGCACCAGGAGCTTCTTTTCTTCTTGTCCCCGTTGTTAGTTTTGAATTCTTCAAATCTAAATGTTGCCACTAAAAACAACTAGGTTTATCGCCACCCTCGTGCCATTGATTGGCATCATTCTTGTTATCGTCGATTACAATTATAATCTTACTAAACAAGAGGTTTATGGATAAGATAAAAAAGAGTAAATTGCACCACGATCCAAATATGGCTCTCGACTCATTTTGTGAGATGTCTCATTCCAATCAACTGTCTGACTTGTTCAGTCATATGGTTCAAGCGATATCTAGTCCCTCTATGATGCGCTCACGAGTTGCAATGTGGGGGGTACTCACGCTCTACAATGCTCTAGCAACCACGATTGAAGATGCTACAACACACTGGCCGCAGTGGTGTTCTCCTTTACTTTTGGAGTTTGTTGTTGCTAGGTGTTGATTTGGGTAAAGAATGGATTGAGGTGAGTATTTTCTTTTTATTTTCTTTATTATATTTTGGATGCAAGGTATTGATTAAGCATTTGGTTGCTAAATTGAACTATTGTTTGCTGCCAATGCAAGAGAAGTGGCTATACTTTCTTCTTATTTTAGAGTTTTTAGAGTAAAAGGTAATTATAAGGCTTAAATATTAATATATTTATATTTTAATGTTAATCTGACAACAAGCTATCTCACCGATGTTGAGTAAAATGGTGTTAGTTTAAATGACCATTATGCTATCATGGTACTTAAGAGTGCAATCTGACTTAAAATCCTTATTTTCAACAAAAGTACAAAAGAAGAATTGATAAGATACAATAAACACAAGAGTTTAAGCTTAAGAGTAATAAAATCTGTAGCAGCTAACAAAATCAAAAATTTAAAATCAAAATATGAATTCATGATTTTATAAGATTATATCTCCTAAGATTGTAGCGTGTACGGGAGTATCAATTGATATACTAGATTGCTAGATTACTGGTTTACTCAAATACAAACAAATTGATATTTGCACAGAAGAGTTGAAATAATTTCACCCAAAAGGTGCAAAAATGTACCAAATATTAGTGCTCCCAAATGAGTGCAAGTCCTGTTTGGCTCACGGCGCATGAAGAAATGTGAAATTTCATTGAAGGTTAATTTAATTTTGTTGCACGGTGTTCTGGGATCGGTTGTATGGGCTATGCTCATGTTTGAACCTGTTGGATGTAGTTTTTAATATGACACCGTTAGCTATTGAAGTTAATTATATGGGGCTTGCTAAAATTTAGGTGTCTGAATTTTAGTTTTTTTTTAGACGATAGTTATTACATATATTTTATAATAAAATTATAGTTTTAGTTCGTTGTAATTTATGTAGCCATTCGGGTCTATGTGGATAAAAACCCCGTTAGACAAAACTACAAACCGGATAAAATTTGATCTATGTTGGTACATAGATAATTAACAATAAACAATTATTTCTATCGTCAGACAAAGACAAAAATTTGATATGCTATGATACAAATACAAATAACAAATCATAAAATTAATAATTTATTTGTACTAATTTATTATAGAAGAGTGTTGTCTAAAATCATTTTAAAATTCATGCACATGAAATATAGGAGAAGTAATTATATATTTGTATAAAGTAAGCCTACTTCAACTAGTGGATGGAAGGTATCATCGTGTATCCAATCTCACAAGTATTTTGAGTTGTCTTCAACTCAAATTTAGATGCCTATTTCTTCTATGAAAAAACGGTTGGTTCGTCTTAGGTCAGTGTCTTTTCTTATTATATATATTTTTTCATTAACACACGGTTTCATATATAATTTGCAATCTACAGTTGAGTGGACTAAAAATGAAAACTTGTATCTTACTTATGTGGCTTTTGATATTTTTCTAGGATTAATCAAATAAAATAAATCCAATTTGTCAAAATCGTAAGAATAAAGTGTCAACACACCTAGACATGAAAAAATCTCTATAATTAATTCATCAAATTCTTCTCCTAATAATTAGGTCCAGTAAGATGGGTAGATGGAAACAAAATTAATACAAAATTCAAGATCCCACTCTTCAGGGAGCATGTGCAACAAATGATATTGATGTATTCCGTCCTAAAATAAATATACATTTTGTTTTTTGATAAGTTGTGGAACATAGAAAATAGTATCAACATTTATATCTCTAAATAGGATTACGGTATATTAAATAGTCAATCTAATGATACTTATTTTACATCATAAATATTAGCATACTTTTGTATATATACGGTCAAATTTTAAAACATTTAACTTCTCAAAAAATGAGATGTATACGGTTTATTTTGAGACAGAGTAAGTATTTTCCATGAACAAACAAATATCCAGAATAATTATAAGACCTGGTTTTTTCTATACAAGATGCAACGAAGAAGGATGTAGATTCTGAGAAGATGCAGGAGGCATGCAGCCGCAGGCAGGCAGGCAGGCAGTCAAAAGACTGTTACCGCTGTAATGCAAATGCCGCCGCAGACAGCAGCAGAATTTCTGAGATCAATCAAAGGGATATCGCCGGCTAAATTTAGACACAGGAGATCCGGGAGAGGCGTGGACAGTGGACTGCGGCGTGCGCCAAGAGACCAAGCGGTGGCCATGGGGGATGGGGATGGGAACAAAAGGCAGGGCCCCGTGACGTGCCTCTCCTCCACTCCACGCCTCTGACCGAGCTCCTGCCCTTCCGATTCTCTCTCGCCAACTACCCTCTCAAAACGGCTTCACTCTCCAGTTTTTATTTCCCATCGTTTCTCTTGTCCCGTATCTGCACTTCTCCTTCCTCCTCTTCACTCCACCCTCCCCTCTTGTAGTATCACTATCATCAACAACACCAACAAGGCTAACGCACACCAACCCAAGATCAAGAAAGAAAAAGAAAACAATTGATTCTGTTTTGATCTCTCTTCGATCGAGGTAAGTGCGCGAGGAGGCAATAATGGTGGCGGTGCAGGCTGCGGCGGCGACGGCGGAGGCGCCGATCCGTGTCGAGGCCAAGGTCGCGGCGGCGCCGGAGGCGGAGGCCGAGGTGGAGGTGCAGGTGAAGGGCGATGCTGCCGCCGCGGCGGGAGAGACGGAGGACTACAAGAGCGACCTGAGGAAGCTGGAGGAGCTCATGTCCAAGCTCAACCCTCGCGCGCAGGAGTTCGTGCCGTCGTCGCGCCGCACGGCTCCGGTCGCCGTGCCGGCAGCGGCAGCCAAGCCGGCGGCGGGAGGAGGGGTGCTCTCCGCCGACGCGCCTGTGTTCGTGTCCGCCGGCGAGTACTACGGCGCTGCCGGCGGGCGCCTGGAGGTAGGCCGCGGCGGCGGGGGCAGGGGCTCTAGCAGCGACGGATCCAGCAACGGCGGCGGCGGACACCCACTGAATCGCCGGGTCGGTGAGCTGTGAATTCTGCGTTTTTTTATTTACGGTTCTGTTCTACGCGTCTCGATTTGGGAGATTTTGGTGTTTATTTGACCTTTCCTTTCCTGTGATCTCTGGAGGATTTGGTGATTTGCGTATCCCGATCGTCTGAATTGATGGGGGTGTCGGGACACGTTGATCACTTTCTTCTTCGTAGGATTTCGTTTTTGTCGCCTTTCCCTTCTTGTTTTATCTTTTGAAAATCAAGTCTTAAGCACTGAGGCAGGGTTTATAATTTTGTTCTGTTAAAGAAGATTTTCTTCTGAATCATTTGCAGAATCATCATATTGCAGTATTATGATATAAAAGAACCCCCCCCCTCCTAAAGATGACAACTTGGTCTTTTTTTTTTTAAGAAATGATTTGATGGGTGCTAAACTGCTAACCAGATAGTATTGATGAATGATCGGTGCTAGTGGTACGACAATTGCCAAGAACTTGATACGTGGATCGATGTGATAGTGATGGGCTACTGTGCTTGATGTCAACAATTCATTTTCGCGGGCCTCCCTTTACCCTTTGAGAATTTCAGAACAAAATGGTGTGATTCTGTGTTCATTTATTGATTCTGGTTTTTGTCAAAAAAATTTATTGATTCTGGTGGTTCTGGTGGTAGGACGACAAATTGACTTTGCCCTCCTGATTGATATCAGAGAAGGAACAGCTTCAACCAGGGGAGGCGGAGGGTGGGAGGCCGGCCCCGACGGGCTGATAGAGAGGACAGTGTGCGGCGGACAGTCTACGTCTCTGACATTGATCAGCATGTGAGCTAACTAAACGCAGTGTCTTTTGCCTTGCCATTTCTGTGTCAATGCTGTTATATTTCTTCTTGTTGCTTTACAGGTGACTGAGCAGAAGCTCGCTGAAGTGTTTTCTAACTGCGGGCAAGTAAGTTCTGTGATTCTTTTGTGGAAAAAAACATGGTGGTAGAATTTCCTCTTAATTATGTGATGGCGGATGACAGCATTTGGGTGACCTTTGTCACCTTTCATTTCTTTGAGAAGTGAAATAGATGATTTAGCTGCTCTGTCTTGGTAATAATATAGCGTATTTGTAACATTATGTCTACTATTAACCTGTAGGTGGTAGATTGTCGTATCTGTGGTGACCCCCATTCTGTCCTGCGCTTTGCGTTCATTGAGTTTGCTGATGATGGTAGCATCCTTGAGACATTATCTTTTCATTTACTGTGTTGGTAACAATAAAACAGTGATGATGAAGTTTTCCTTTCTCTGCAGCTGGTGCAAGAGCAGCACTAACACTTGGGGGAACCATGCTTGGCTACTATCCTGTTAGAGTTTTGCCTTCTAAAACAGCAATTTTACCCGTCAATCCTAAATTTCTTCCTCGAGTAAGTCAATGATGATGGCAATGCTTTGACATCCGTAGCATTTATAGAAAGAGAAGTATGGAAGCAGTTCTCATAAAAGTTTTGCTAACATTATTATAATGATTTATTTTTACAGACTGAAGACGAAAAAGAAATGGTATCGAGGACTGTATATTGTACTAACATAGACAAGAAGGTATATAAGTCTTTTTTTGGTTAGTTGTGTGATTGCAAACTTAGATTCGGATTACACATAAGATGTTTGTTATTACATTCAGAGTTTAACATTGTATTTAACAGTGCTTCTGTAATCTTTTAAAACTGAATTGCGCAACTTCTAGCTGTTGTTTTAGATTGTAATGGGTGATTCCAAATCAAGGCCTGATTTGCTTTAGATTAGTTGCTTCATTAACAAGCTTTCCCTCGTGGGATTTGTGTACTATTCTGAAATGATTGGTAAATGCTTAAATTTGATACATATGATTAATAGTGAAGATAAAAATGTCTTGAAAAGTTAAAATTTTGCAGCTTATGCGTTCTGAACTCTACTTATGTGCAGGTTACAGAGGATGATGTAAAGGGTTTCTTCCAGCAAGCGTGCGGAAAGGTATGCTATTAAATTGTTTATAAGGTGTCTTTTCTAGAATATTTATATTCTTTTTTTAAATGGTTGCCATTTAACACTTTGTTTAGGTTTCTCGGCTGAGGCTCCTTGGTGACTATGTACACTCCACATGCATTGCTTTTGTTGAGTTTGCTGAAGTAAGTAAAACAAAGTCTTTTACTGATATATTCTGATTGAATTAAGATTTTAGTTAATCTTCGAGTGCTTACATAATAAGGGGTCTAGGAGTGAGAGTTATGTGAATCAAGGGAAACAAGGTCTTTAGTGATGTATTCTGATGCAATTAAGATTTTAGTTAATCTTCAAGTACTACTGGTACAGTACAGCTTGGTTTCTAATAGCAGAACACCTCTCACCCCTTGGGTTGGGTTGGGTGGCTTATATATATATATATATATATATATATATATAGTCACAAAGGACTTAGAAAGACACCCTATACCAACAGTTTTATAGCATACGTATCTAACAGTTACAATTAGAATTAGACCCCTAGATATATTCGTATCTAACATTCACAAACATTACCAATTGAAAAGGTGCGCTCAAAGGATGAGTTTTCGTAATGGACATATTTGATTATACCAAAGTCGCACAGTTGTTGTATGCATTGTTTGAAATTTTGTTATTTTGTGTTCAGTCCAGGTTGGTGTTCCTTTTAGTTATTTTTCATTATATTTCTCTTTGCCTCAATGTTGATCAAGACTTAGTTTATGTTGATTGGAAAAATCCATTCACCGAGACGTGTTAATGTTCCTGAATTAGAACCTTGTTATTGTTGCTCTATCTTAGTTGGTGGGGAACTTGTAATAATTCCAGATGTTGTGACAATACACACCAATTATATTGTTAACTGCTTGAAACAGGACGGTCCTTGGTCCATTTTCTTAAAAAAAAAACATGCTACTCTATAGAGTAAATTTTTCACTGGCAAAGACTTAAAAATCAGAGTTTTCTATAGTCCACTAGAACCTTTTTTTATAGGTGAAAGAACTACATTTGTTTCAAGTTACTATCCTTCTTAAAGCATCTAGGTAAAGACATTGATTAGAGAGGTTTCCAGTCCATCCTTTTGTGCTTTTTTCTTTTTTAATTCAGTAAGTATGCCCAAGAAATCCTATTGGTACGTAGTCTAAGCCATTTGTAGCCATGATTGGTCTGACTTATGCTTCATTTGTACTCTCGTTTTGCATGTTTTTTTTTTCAGGCTGAAAGTGCAATTATGGCCTTAAACTTCAGTGGTATGGTCCTTGGTTTACTCCCTATCAGGTAAAACATTCTGTTAGCAACCCATATTTGTGAATTCATGAAAGAGTATCATGAAATACCGTGATACCTACCGTAAGGAATGTCCTTGATCGCGCAGGGTGAGCCCTTCCAAGACACCAGTCCGTCCGCGGCCTCCCCGCGTGATGTCCAACTGAGCCCGTTCCAAGCCGTCGTCACCCTTGAGGCTGCCACCAATGGCAAATCATCCCAGGCAGAGCTTCTTCTAGCTATGAGCGCCTTAGAACCCTTGCTTCGCGGATCAGTGACGTCGTCGTCGTCCCGAGAGTGTCCCAGTACCTAAGTCAGTCATAGGAAACCAACTTGCTGCTGCTAATGTTCTTGGTCTGTCAGAGACCCATGCACCATTTCCCTTCTTTTTTTCTCATTCCCGCTTATGTTAATTATGTATGGATTCGTCTATAACCGCCTTTCTCGGGCATCGGAGGAAGAATGAAAAACTCTGGCATTTTTTCTAGCTGTGTGGGAGATTGTACATTTCTTGCTTGTGTTTTTTTTTTTCATTTTGGCTGATAGGCATATACGCAGTTTAGTTCCCATGACTCCTGTTCGTTGGTCTGCACTCTACGTGGATGTATAAGGCATGTGTTTCTGGTGTTAAACGTGCTGCCGTTGCTTTGGCTCAAAAGATGGTGGGTTTCGGCATGTGTTCCCATGATTGAGCCCTAAGTGTCATTGCCTACGAACTCCTTCACCGTGACCCTTCCTGGATGTGTTTCCGTTGTCAATCGTGCACTGGAGGTTGACTGCACGGTGGCCAGTGGCAGCGACGGATCCAGAAATGACGACGGCAACCCACTGAGTCAACGGGGCGGTGTTTGTTTCGTCTTCTATTCATTTTTGGGGCAGAGTTTCATCTTTTGCTTATGCCTACCAGTCTAGTAATTCTTTTCTTCAAACACAAAGAATACATGTATCATTATATTAAAGAAAAAGAAATAAAATGACTCATACAATACCTGAAAAGAATATGACCAGTACAACAAAAATCATCAAAAGTGAGAAATGAGCAAAGACCAACAAACCAGTAATAGCCATAAGACACTTTCATTCACCCTTTTTCGTTTTGCTCTTTCATCTCTCAGTCTGTCGTCTCTCACCCTCACCCTTCTCGTTATGAGCTTACAAAACCTTTGTCGCCACCACACCACTCGTACCTTGGTCTAGCCATTCAAAACCCATTCACGTATACTCACCTTTCATATTTTTCAAACTCACAATAGGTGCACGTAGTAGTCACCTATTTAAGTTGACTCAATCTCCTGTCAATTTTCTCGTACGGGACAAATCCTTTATTGCACTAACACTTAGAATTTATTTGATTTAATAAGATTAAGCTAAATCCAATTAAATAAATCCAACAAAAATGTCTATTTCATTATTAATGGCACGAACACCACACGAGCATAATAAATTGTACATTTTGTTGTAAGATCTGTGCTATCAATTTTAATTTGAATAAAAACTGTGCAAGACTAAGGAACGTGAGACGAAAAACAAAGCAAAACCAAGCGAGATTTTTTGTTTTTTTTAATAGAGGGGGTAAAGATACGTGTGTCAATATATGGTATTGCATCATGGCTGGTCGTGTGCGAACGGGAGAAGCAGAAACCACTTGCAAAGTAAAAGCGCAAAGCTCAATGGACTGCTGGCGTGTTGTATCCTCTGGGCCGCAGAGTCGGACCATCCCATGGATGACGGCCACGGCGACGGTGATTTCTCTGGGTGAACTCGGACCCATCAACCCATTCGTAGCCCAGCCCAACAATAAACCGAGCCTGATCCGTTCGAGAGCGAGAAGGTCCAGTTAGCCAGCCTTCTCTCTCCCCACCAGTCTCTCCTCTCGCCTCCGCTTGCCCCCCCCTCCAAGCCCCACCCCACGAGCGAGCTCGCGGCCACCGCCTCCTCCTCCTCCTGCCGCAGGTACGCGCCGACGCTCCTCCCCCTTCCTCTCGCCGCCGCTCGCGTATCCCGCACTCGCGCTTAATTCCTCCTCCGTCTCCCGATCGCGCTACCGCAGGCAGTCGCAGCAGCGACACATGGCGCCGTCCAGGCACGCGGACGAGGGCGGGCAGCTCCAGCTCATGGACGCCGACAGGGTCGAGGACGAGGAGGAGTGCTTCGAGTCCATCGACAAGCGTACGTCGCGCCCTCTCCCCTCCCGTCTCGCCTCCCGCATTACTTGTTCCGCTTCCGCGCGCGCGCCTTCCTACCACCCTGATCGATGCTGCATGCAGTCGCCTTCCATGGCGGGGCGGATCGCTTCCGCCTTCTGCCGTTTCGCTTTTGGGTTCGGAAATCCCGGTCGGAGTTGGGGCGATTTGTGCTTGGTGTCGGCATTTGTTTGTTTTTGTTGGGTGCCCGGAGTTGGGGTTTTGCGTTCCTTCTAGTTCCCCAAAATTTCGAGTGTTTTGGGAATCAACTAGTGTTGTATCGTGGCGTGAGTTCGTGAGGTTCTATTATTCCCACGTTTGATCGAAATCCTGCTACTAGTTCGTTTTAATCAGTGTGTGCTACCGTTGCTTCTGCGTAGATTAATCTGAATTTGGCTTTAATCTGAGTTCACGAGCTCATTCCGCCAAAACGATGAACAAAATCCAGTGGGATTCGAAATTAGCTCGTTCTATCCTTGGACTTTTGTGCGAATACTCTTAGCTTTTTTTCTAGCAAATTATTACGAATGCCATTTTGGTGCACTCAGGGTTTTAGGCTTGGGCTCAGATAGTCAGATTTTGTTGCGGAACAGGATTCATGTTGTCGTCCAACGCTATTAATTTGACTTTCTCAGCATATATAATAAATGCGTTCAATAATCTGTGTGTATGCATCTGTTTGGCAGAGTGATTTCTCAGGGGATAAATGCAGGAGACGTGAAGAAGCTGCAGGATGCAGGGATTTACACTTGCAATGGCCTAATGATGCATACTAAGAAGGTTCTGAACTTTGCATCCCAATACCCAAATCTTTGTTCTGTCTGTCTGAATATTTGTTGCACAGTGCTTAAATTGATATCTTGTTTGTGGCACTTGCATTCTTGCTTTCATTTGTTCAATATTCTGCACATATGGCTGTTGTTCTAATTTATGGATTGTCTTGCAGAACCTTACAGGAATCAAAGGTTTATCCGAAGCAAAAGTTGATAAGATCTGCGAGGCAGCTGAAAAACTTCTGGTCTGATCCTTTAAGTTGGTTTTGCTTACTAAACTTACATGCAATCAGTTATGTATGATATGGTATCTTTAAATTCTCTTCTTGTTTGTTTGTCACAGAACCAGGGCTTCATGACAGGAACTGATCTCCTTCTTAAGGTAAGAAAATTACATTTAAGCTACTAATTGGTGTATGGTTTCCCAGTTTGGTGTGTCTGATGAGTGATAACCAATGCTCGACTGCTTGTAATATGTAAACTAACTGACAAAGGTTGATTAGTTATTGGTATGGTTGCGCACTTTTAATTACTTCTCATATGTGTTGTCCTTTAAGGCTGTTTGATTTATTTTGGCTTATTCTGAAGCGGAAGTCTGTTGTTCGGATTACAACTGGGAGCCAGGCACTTGATGAGCTGCTTGGCGGTAATATATCTGAAATCTGTTGTGTGATCAGTCATTTACATTAGTCTAATATATGGACATGTTTAAATTTGAAGGAGGGATTGAAACACTTTGCATCACAGAGGCATTCGGGGAGTTCCGGTATGTTGATGTTCTTGTTCCTGTTGTTTATTTTTCTCTGAAGTTCTGCTGCAGGAGCCATATTATGTGTATAGTTGATATTTATGATATGGGGCCACACTTGTACTAAATGTATTTAGGCCTAGCTCAGTTATGTATTAGTGTATATAGGTTGATGGTACAACCTTTCCAACCCTCTTGTAACACCTTTTTCTGTTGTCTCATCTTCCAGAGTTTCCAATCATGCTTTTGCTTTGCTAACTTAACCACATGAATACAGTTTCTCACCATTTTCTTGATGTGAAGGATTCGTTAATGACAATGAAATTGAGTTGGGTCTCTTTTTTCCTAAAGGGAACAGTATATGAAACAATTCTTTGTTGTATTCTATTGCTGGGACTGGGAGCAATTTGTCATTGTATGGAACACACAATCACGCATAAACCTCTTACATGCAAATGAAAGAAACCTCTTAAGTATTTACTGAGAATAGTCACAGTGAATGTTGACTTATGATGCGCTTTTGTAACTATATTTCTGAGTTCAGTTCTAGTTTTTAAGTTTGAAATATATGTCATCTGGTTGTCTTGCAGGTCAGGGAAGACCCAGTTGGCTCATACTCTATGTGTCTCCACTCAGGTTCATCCCCTGTATCAAATTTTGTAGATAGCACGTAGACCATGGAACTATAGAAGCAATAGCATTTGAGGAAACATAGAAACAACAGAACTAATAGAATTTGAGGAAACATAGAAGCAACAGAACTACTCTCTTATTTCTGATTGATGAAAATGCAGCTTCCAATCCACATGCATGGGGGGAATGGGAAGGTTGCCTACATTGACACTGAGGGAACATTGTATCTTTGGAATTTCATGAGTAATTTGTCAAGATTATTCTCTCAAGAGTTTATATTTATTCCTATCATCTCCAAATTGTTTCCTTAATGAAGTTTTCAGCCGACCTGAAAGCATTGTGCCAATTGCTGAGAAATTTGGGATGGATGTCAATGCTGTTCTTGACAATGTATGAATTCCATGCATTTAACATTTCTCGTTTCTTATCCCATTTCATGTCTAAATAGACCAAATTGGTTGTTTAATTTTACGCATGTTCCTGGTTAGATCATATATGCTCGTGCATACACCTATGAGCACCAGTACAACTTGCTCCTGGGCCTTGCTGCCATGATGGCTGAAGAACCTTTCAGGCTTCTGGTAGGCATGAAACTGTAAATTGCATTAGTTTTGATACTCACAGTTGTGCTCATGTGGTATTTCGATCGTCCTGGAAACAGATTGTGGATTCTGTGATTGCACTGTTTCGTGTTGATTTCAGTGGAAGGGGTGAACTTGCAGAGCGTCAGATATTCTCGTCAATTCATTTAGATGGCAGTTGGCACCTCGTAAAAATGTTGAAGGGTGCTGTTTTATCTGCTTGTTCATGTGTATCTGCTGTGAAATTGCAGCAAAAGCTAGCACAGATGCTGTCCTGACTTACCAAGATTGCTGAGGAGTTCAATGTTGCAGTGTACATCACCAACCAAGGTGGGATTTGCTATTTAACCCTATATATCTATTCCAAGAGTTTACAGATGAATGAATTTCAATTTCTAAGCTTTTCCTTTTTGTGCTCCAGTGATTGCTGATCCAGGTGGTGGTATGTTCATAACTGATCCAAAGAAACCAGCAGGCGGCCATGTGTTGGCGCATGCTGCCACCATCAGATTGATGCTGAGGAAAGGCAAAGGCGAGCAACGTGTCTGCAAGATCTTCGATGCCCCTAACCTTCCTGAAGGAGAAGCTATATCCTTTTGCTTCGATGGTCCATGTTTACTGCTTGTGCTAACGATCACCTTACTTTCACAGCTCGCTAAAATTTAGCTAAATTGCCTTGCTTACATAGCAAACTCTAGTGATAGCGAACCTTACCTGCTAACTGCCATGACTGAATGTTTCAGATGATTCTCCTACAAATTATCAGTGTGATACATGTAACTTGTTTCCCTTGACCAACAGCACGTTTTCCAGGTTACATCAGGTGGAATCATGGACGCAAAAGACTGATTCGGTTTCCAGCCAGAGTGCTCCTGTGCAAATATCGTTCATGTTTCTTCAGTAAAGTTCATAGCATACAAGGGTATACATACCTCGAGAAAAGTTACAGCAGTGTAACTCTGTTTTATCTTTGACACAGAAAAAGTAGGCAAGACTCATTGTTGCTTAGGCCTTCCATTAGGTTCTTTTTGCCACGGAATTTGAGATGGAACCAGTTGTACATGTTTTCTTGGCTTCCCAAAAGACTTCTAGGCAGACCAGAGACCATCTATTGTTAGTTGTTCATGCATGCCAATCTACATGCTTAATACTCCATGCTTGCCTGAATGGCACTGTGTTTCTTTCTTGTTAGTGGTTCATGCATGCCCATCTACATGCTTAATACTCCATACTTGCCTAAATTGCGCTGTGCTTCTTTCTTGTTAGTTTTGGTTTTACATTGAAGGAAAAGTAAAGATATTCTCTCAGATCAACTCTTGGAACAGATGACAAAGCTACTGCTGCTAATCTGTGTCTAGGTCGATCTGATTCCGAGCAGAGCAAGTCCAAATACTTCAGCCGGTTTCTCTTTCGTTTGAGAGGGGTTCCTGTCTTGTTGCTCCGGTTCTTCTTTAGCTGAAGCGCTTTCTTTTCTCTTTTGAGTAGTGCTTGTATCAACGTTGTTTTATTTTCTCTCATCTAATAAAAATCGCTAATAAAAATCGTGGCAAATCTCTTACCGTCCTTTCAAAAAAATATTGCTTTCCAGTTCTGGACTCGCTGCTCCCTCTGACACGGGCATGCTTCCAGCTCCTGCTACCTCTTCTCAAATAAAACTGGGGAAATGACAGGGAAGGAAAAAGTGCGAGTGAAGAAAAGAAAAAAAGAATGAGAAAAAAGGGAAAATTCAGAGAAAAATACAGAAAAGAAGAAAAATAAAGGGAAATGGCCGGAAAAAAAAAGGACCGGATGTCCCGACTTTGGTAGGTTGGTTTTCCTTTTTGTTTTTTCCGTCAGTTCCGCCCGTTTTTTTTTACGTCAGATCGGGCTTTTTTTTTTGTCCGTTTTCCCTTTTTTACCCGTGCTACCATTTTTCTGCTTTTTCGTCCTTTTTTCCCAGTTTTTTTTTCGATTTTCCTGTTCCCCCTCACGCACCCCATCCTCCGTTTTTTTTTGGTCAGAGGTGGAGAAAATCGTATCGAAGAAGAGAATAATAAAGACACAATAGAAACAGGAAATTCTAATGTAAAGATAGGGAACTAAACTCATTGCCTTAGCTTTATGATGAAGATTTTATTGTGTTCGTGAGTTTAGTGTACAAATCATTCTATTCGAGTGTTTGTCGGCGGTTGGGCATACCTAAAAACCAAACAAATTAAACTACTGAAAGATAATCAAGCATTTTTTTTTTTGCCTATATACATGTGTCATACCATCTCCAACAACGATTAAAGTGCGGAGAACAGGGAGAGTTAGGTTTAGGCCTTTTGGTAGGGCTTCTTTTAGCTCTGACTCATCTGGAGCAGCCAGAGCTGGTGAAGCTAAAATACTGGCTTCACTAGCTCCCAGTTCATTTAAAGAGGAGAGAAAAATAGCTCCTTGCTACAATGCAAAATATTTTATAAGCTGGAAGCTATTTTGTAAGGAGAAACCCTTCCAAATAGGGTTTTAGTCATTTCATGCAAGGTAAGTAGAAGAGATGCAAACATAAAAACAATTTGAGTTTTGTTTGTCTGGTCTCCACTTATGAGTACGAAAACAAATGCTTTATATACATCTCAAAATATGAACTATATTTTTCAAAATAAAGTATTATTTTAAATAAAGTACACAAAGAAACGTGTATAAACTTGTCGATATCAAGAATTAGAAGTAATAAAGTTTAGAGATAAGGTTGGTTCACATGAATTTTCTTTTTGCCAAGTTTATCTATATATACTGTAATATTAAAGTGTTTGTTTTTCTGGTTATTCGCTTTCTCCTATGTCCGTATGAATTCTACGCGGTGGAGTCTGAAAGACTGAATTAAACGAATTAAAGTGCATAACGTAATTATTTGTATATATAAATCTCCGAACCACCCGTGCCCGTATGAGTTTGAGCAACGGGCGTCCAAGCACGTTGTGGCGCCTAAAAGTACAGTCATATAGAGACCCATTCCACAATTAATTGAAATATCATAAAATAAAACTCGGAACCGCAAGTCATCCAGATGACTACGCAACAAGCTGTTCGTTTCAATGCAACGGAAGCATATTTGCTAGTTATTAGATAAACAAAAAACATAGTTCCGTAATTTATTTTGCATCAGGCCTCAACAGCCAATAAGCTCCCCTTGGCATCTACATCAAGCACGCAAGAGAAAGGCTCTGACATAAAAACTCCTCCAGAACACACTGGCGCCGGCGAACTAGCTTACAAGCTACACATATCGTCCACCATCTCATCTCATGGGAGACGGGTAGGAGGATCTTGGCCTAGCCGGTGTTCTGCATGCCGGCAGCGATGCCCTTCATGGTCAGGATCAGTGTGTCCTCCAGGCCTGGCGCATACTCGCTCTGCTGGTTCAGCTGCACCAGCTCCGCTGGCTGACTCTCGTCCGTGAACTCCTTGGACAGGGGCGGCTGCGGGCTCACCTGGAAGCTCGGGTCACGTATCCGCTTCAGGGTGTAGGCCTGGCACACGTTCAGAGTGGTGATGTAGGACTCACGCAGCCGCAGACGCTGCTTCAGGTAAGGATCGCCTTCAAGGACGTCCTTGTGACCAGCAACCTGCAGCGAAATCGCAACAGTTAAAATCATAATGCAATTAGACTCGTGAAATTTCAGAATTTTAGACAGCCACATAAAACTTGGCACTTTGAGTGCCGCTAATTGGCAACAAAATACAAAAATAGCTGAAATGCAAGCAAAACCAAATCTGTGGAGTGTGAGCTATTAGAGCACTTTACCTGAAGGAGTAGCTCTTTTGTCTCCTCATAGTTCTTCCTCAGTTGCTCACCGAAGGATTGCAAATCATCAGCCACTAGCAATTTGTCATATACAGCTGCAATTCCCGGGTCTCCCTTGGCGAAAACCATCTCAAGCAAATCAAGGGTGACCCTGAAGAATGGCCACTCATTGTACATTTCTTTCAGTACATGGATGTTCCTGATGTCCTTCTGCATGATGTGCTTGATCGCTGCGCCAAATCCAAGCCAAACAGGCAGATGGAACCTTGTTTGTGTCCAAGCAAAGATCCATGGAATTGCACGGAGCGATTCTATTCCCCCACTAGGCTTCCTCTTTGACGGACGGCTGCCAATATTCATCCTACCATATTCAGTCTCAGGCGTAGCCTGAAAGAATATAAGATCGAGTTAGTTCGCATACTCACCCACCGACTTCTAGAACCAGTTTAATAGCAGCCCACTGAATCATCATGCAGTGAGACAGGATGCTTAATAAGTATAAAAAATGTTTAAAGTCCTTATTGGTCAATGCATACAGTTCAGTGCATTCAATTGTATGACACCAATGCCTTGGTAAAAATGGTATCCGACCTAGAAACGAGAGCATTTGTCTTAGTTTTTTTTCTCAAAATTGGTCTGAGTCCACTTAAGAGTGTTCTAGCAAGTTTCAGTTAAAAAGGACTTGCAGAAAATTACATATGTTCAGATTTTCTAAAGAACCAAATAAGAGGTTGACAAAAGGCAGTATTGCTTTAAGTGCACTCTTTTGAGGGTACAGATTAGGGTCTTTTAGCAGCTTTGAAACAAGTCAACATCATGCTTGAGCAGGTGCAAAGTGTTATGCTTGTAAGAATACTGGATACAGTTAAAACCTACCGATCTGAAGTATTCAACGAAGCGTGGTTCTTGGAAGACAATTGATCGATATTCTTTAGTTGCTACAACAGCCATTTCATCCATCAGAGCACGCCATTCTGGCTTGGGGGAAATTGGAGGATGCATGCCATGCTCAAGAGTAGCTGCAGTGTAGCGTTGCAAAGTTCTAAAGCACAAGAGCTCCTCTCCAAAGGAGTGCTCAATAACTTCGCCTTGAACTGTTACACGAAGCGATCCATGTATCGTGTCTGGTGGCTGAGATAATATGGCCAGATGAGTGGGACCACCTCCTCTGCCAACTGTTCCACCTCTTCCATGAAACATTGTCAACTTCACTCCATAATGCTTTGCCACCTTGATGAGCTCTTCTTGTGCTTTATACATTTGCCATGCTGCAGAGAGACGCCCGGCATCTTTGCCAGAGTCTGAATATCCAATCATGACCTCCTGCTTGCCATTAATCCTATTCATGTACCAGTCAATTGAAAAGAGTCGTGCTACAGCTGCTGGAGCTGCTTCAAGGTCTGCAAGTTTCTCAAAGAGTGGAACAACTCTCAGTGGCTGTTTTACATGGCACTCACGCTGCAAAAGCTCGACCGCAAGCACATCAGATGGGGCAGTTGCCATCGAGATGATATATGCGCCAAAGCAATCTGCTGGAAGCTCTGCAAGGACATGAAATGTGCCTAAAACATCAGCAGTCTCTTCAGTCTGAGGAAGATCAGAACCAAACAATGGACGTTTGCCCCTCAGTTCAGACAACAGCCAATCCTGGCGTTTCTCCTCAGACCATTCAGCATAGGAGCCAATTCCAAGATGTTTCGTTATTGAATCAAGGACATCGGTGTGCCGATCAGATTCCTGCCTGATGTCAAGCTTCACAAGGGCAAGCCCAAAAGTTGATACTTGACGCAAGAAATCAAGAAGACTTCCGTCAGCTATAGGTTTGTCACCACAAGCACATAATGATCTATAACAGAGCTCAAGAGGTTCCAGAAACTGCAACATAGAAGGTGGTAATTAGATTACTATAAGTATGATGGCTGCAGTCACTAATATGTATATCACAGAAAAAAGAGCAAACCTGTTCAGCGTTAGTAAAAGTTGCCTCCTCTGGAATCTCAGAAATTCCAGATGACAATAGGTGACGAGAACGTTCACGTGTGTAGTACAATTTATCCCTGACATCACCAAGTATGACACGATATGGTTCATTTGGAGGAACTTGCTTCCAGAATTCTGCGAGCAACAAAGCAACAACGCTCAATTAGTAATATAAACCTTTGAACAAATGCAGTAAGTCTCTTTGCAGGGAAAAATGTAATAAATCATCCACTCTACAAGAGAATGTAGGGTGTAGCATCCAAGTTGCTGATTAGGGCTCTGTTTGGTATTGTGGTGGTGGCTCTAATAAGACACTTAGTTCTAATTTTGGATGTTGCTAGTTTGAAAATCTATTTGAATCTGTAACAGTAAAAATCCTGCAGATTAGACTCCAAGCACAGAGCCTCATAACACAACCACCACAAGCACACCCTAAAAGGAGTGACCAAACTGAGGGCACAAATATTGAGATTATACTAGTCAACATAGTGATGCATCCATGTTAGGAGTATGACATAAAAAATATATTCAAGTCTATTGAAGAACTATAGTACAATAGATTAATGATTCAAATGAAAGAGGTTTGCAGCCTCCAGAACATATTTCCAAGCTTCTCTCACCTAGCTTTGCTACGTAGGATGTATTAAATTGAAATTATTTTCTACAGACTCAATTTTAGCTGCTTTGACCTAACATATGCAGTTTCTAAAATATCTGATGAGTTCAAGCTTGACTGTGTATCCAAACCATATATAAATTATAAATGGCAATTAGCATGCACACTTTTCTCGAATTAGTATGCATACTTTTTGTAGTGCATATGCACTAATCATATTAAGTGCAAGTAGAGTGTTCGGGAATTCAAAAGGTATACAGAACCAAGATGTGGTTAGCCATTATACATAATCCTACGGTGAACCATAGACAATAAGAATAAAAATACAAAAATGGCATACTTAAAAGGTTATTATCCACACAGGCACAGTAATGGCATCCTTCAGAGTTAATTGTTTGTACAGTTTTCAGATCAGAACTCTCATTTAAGTGAATAACTTCACATGGCCAAAGCAGAAAAAAGCAAGAATAATAAGCAAATCAACAGATATGCAGTTTAATCCAAATTCCCTTGTTAGATTACAGCTCTGTTACCTATATAGTGCTTTGCAGCTTTTCTTGAAGAGCGATGTAGTTCATCTGCACGGATCCGAAGTTCATCACTGCATCGCCACATAGAGAGCTAGAATAGAATATTGTGTTTTAGCACCAGGGAACAAACAATGTCGCAGCTCTTAACATGTAAGGGAAGAACTTTTTATATTGCAGTACCTCAAACATTAGATCTTCGATCTGAGAAAAGTACAAGTTAGCAGCCATCATTCTTGCCAACAAGCATACATCCCGTGTAACCTCTGGTGTTACTCTTGGATTTCCTACAAAAACAATACATCATGGAAGTTTTAGCTTTTCTTTCTACAGTTGGTCAGCAAAACAACAAAAAGGTTCTACCCAAAATATTTCGAACTGTAATGTTTTGAGTGCAAAAAGGAATCTTAATAGCCAATATCAACAACTTTCTGTTACACATGCGACCAGAGTCTGGAGCATTTTAGAACTACTCAGACTGTTTCTTTTGTACAAAAACTCTTCAACGGAGTATTGTATTTTTCAGACAAATATATACAGTGGCATATGAAAACAAGAAGTTACCATCACGATCACCACCCATCCAGGAAGAGAACTGAATGAGAGGAGCATTGTAAGGGAGACGTTCATTGATCCCAATATTTTTTAGAGCAGTGTCAATACGGCGCAAGAATTTTGGTACACCCTTCCATATCGTTTCATGGAAGTAACTCAATCCAGCACGCATTTCATCTTGGGGAGTGGGAGGGGTTCTGCGGATTTCATCAGTTCTGAAAGCGGCTTGAATCTGTGAAGGGTGTCAAACAACAAATCAGCAAAACATATGTTTCACCGCAATTGACTGAAAATGAATGCATGACTATAACTTTTTATGTCATCAAACTGCACTGTCGAAAGCATTTTATTCAGCTATTCTGTGAAGACTATAACATCAGATAATCGAACTGCAGTGTCAACAAAAAAAATCTGCAGTAATATAGAATCAACTGTAGCATAGTAACTACCTTTTTTGTGCACATTTGACAGTTTTTTGTCCTTTCACCTTGTCTGCTTGTCATGCGCAAGCATACAAGAGTTCAACAGAATAACATTTTTAAAGAGAAAAATGATGGTACAACCAAGGTGGAGTTTCATTGGAAGCATCTAATAGGGTCCACAATATAACCTCAAAAACAAGTTATAATAAAAACTAAAAAATAATGTGCTCTTCACCAGATTAATTTCAAAAAGTTTGGTGCCCACTTCTGATAACAGTAATTTGTGTGTGCTTAAGAGTTAGTTTAATTGAAGGTTAGTTATTTCCAAAAGTTTGACAGCTACTTCTGATAACAATAACCTTGAGGTAACAACAATGACTAGTATAATTTCACACAGGAAACCTTTGTTGTGCCACAGCACACCCAGAGAACCTTCCAACTTTCTCAGATAACTAGCCTTCTGTCAGTGCTATTATCAACTAATCTCCATTGGCCCATTGGGTATATTTTCTTGGTTCTTTCTCAAGGAAGAAATTGCCCCTATTGTACATACTTTACTGCTTTCTTCCTATCACCTTGTCCTATTAGATATCCAATAAACTACTATTAAAAGAATGGTGTATAGACAATAGAGAGCATTCTAGACAAATGATTTGCTAGGGTCTCTTAGAGCATCTCCAACAGTTCCCCAATAATCTTTACCCAATATACATGTATTGGGGTAGCCCAATATCATCTTTTGTCAATATTGGGGGAGTTGCTGCAGCAATACCCTAATATATCTCCCCAATACCCATATGGAAGGTGGGTCCCACAGGAGTGTAAGAGAAAATATGGCTGAAAAGTGGTAGTTGGGATGGTCCTCATGGCATTGGGAGAGTTGTATCTCCCTAGGGAGATGAGGGAAATATTGGTGGCCACCAACAAAAGGGAAAGGTACTGGGGAACTGCTGGCGCAAGAAAAAAGCATAGCTGTCCCAATATGACAGTTTTATGGGGATTGGGGGAGCTAACTTGTCTTTCAGGAGTGGGGCAAAGTTCTAATAACAGTAATGTGGCGGTGCCTATGCTCTGGATCCACCGTTGAAAAAACGTGAGCCCCTGGCACCATCAAGGGAAAAAGGGCCTAGAGATGATAAGCTAAATAATGAGCACCTGTTTTTCAACTAAAAAAGTTAACCGCAAGGTTGTGGTGGACACTTAATCTGCACTAAAACCTCACGAGTGACTTTTTTTATCAAAACTTTTTTCAGCTCAAGTGGTGAAGTCGAGATATTTTACCTCCCTCTGAAGTGCCTCATCAAGCTCCTGCTTGTCGTCAGCAGTGATGTCCTTGGCATAGAGCTGCCTCAGGCAGTTACGGATCCTAAATAACAAAATCAAATCAACACCAGGGGAGCATTCAGCATTTGCTTCAACACGCATGAGCAATGAGGAGAACCGAAGGACTTCAATCAAAGCAACCACAGTAACGCTACGACTACGATCGTCCTCACCCACCTGCCGTGCTTCTGGAGAAGAGACCTCCTCACGGACTGCGTGGGGTGGGCGGTGAAGACGAGGTCGACGGTCTGGTTCTTGAGCGCGTCGAAGACCTCCTCCCGCGACTTGCCGAGCTGCGAGACGAGGCGCTTGAGCGTCTCCTCGATGTCCGACTCGGTGGGCGCGGAGGCCTCGTCGGCGAAGTCCCCACGCTTGAGCTTGATCCGGCGGCGCTGCGCGACCTGCACTTCCTCAGCGAGGTTGGCGAGGTTGAGCATGTGCGAGAAGGAACTGGCGACGACGATGGAGTCCCCCGGCGGCAGGCTGGTGAGCTTGCTCCCAAGCTCGCCGAGCCTCGCCTCATCCCGGTCGTTCTCGTACTCAGCCGAGAGCTCGTAGCACTCCTGCACCTGCGCACGCGAAGAGACGCCACCTGATCAGCACGGATCTGGGGGATGAGGAGAAGGAGTGGGTATTGATGCGATCGGGGCGTACGAATTCGCGCAGGTGGGGGCCGTGCAGGTCCTGGAGGATGTCAAGGAAGCGGTCGACGAGGAGGGCGTCGTACTCGACGAGCTTGTCGTCCTCGGAGACCTTCCCGGGGGCCAGCAGCCGCAGCTGCGCGTCGATCGACTGGTGCCGCTCCGGCATCGCGGCGGCAGCGAATCCGAACGGATCAAAATTCCCGCCCGGCGGGACAGACGATTTCCTCCCGCCCGCGAGCCCGCAGCGGGCGGGCGTGAGAAGTGGAGAGTGGTGGCGGCCGCGGCCGCGGCTCGTCTGTGGTGGAGGCGGAGATTGCGGGGTGTGCGCGGCGGAGGCGATGGGGGTGGGGAGTTTGGAGTGTGCGTGCCTATTTGTACAGGGGGGACGGGAGCTCGGGGGCGATGGTGATCGTGTGTGGTGGGACCCGTTTGGAGAATTTTATATGTTTCTCAACCGTGCGTCTCCCTCATGGTCGTGACTCATCATGCCAAGTACAAGTACTCCTACTTTTGCAGATTGATCCCTGTGGACTTGGGGATTATTTGTAGTTATATAGGTTTCTAAGACAATAAAAATTTGCGTGTCTATTTTTGGAATTCTCCGTAGTCCATACAAATTTTAGAGAACTCCTTGACCTTTTTCCTTTGGAATGAGAACTCCTTCAACTTAAACAGAACTTGTGCGACCCTTTTTAAGTAATAAGGGATTTAAAATCTATGAATATATTAGGTTCAAAAAAATCTATGAATATATCTCTATACTGTATTATATTAGACACCATTTAGCCTTGTTTCGACGTAGTCCGATTCAAATTAATCCACGTGTGTTAGGATGAATTAAAATAAAATTTAGTTCAAGTTATACTCCAATCCACCCCAACCTCCAAACAAGATCTCCTAGTTTTTCGGTTTACTTTCCATCCATTGCATCACCGGAATACTTTAATTAGGAATTAGGAATGCTAGAAAATCAGTGCCCGTGTGAGGCGTGATGTGTGCATATTGTCTCATGTCAAATAAAAAAATCAGCATTTTGATGCAATATACTTGCGGCCCGTTTGGACGTGAGAATCGGGTTCATTTCTCACACGAATCACTAGAAAACAGCTCCAAACGGTGTTATGTCTGGATCCAAAACGTTGGTGTTGTGTCTGGATCCAAAACGTTTTAGTACCGTGTTTTCTTCAGCAAAATTAGAAATCGGAACACGGTTGTTTCACATAGAGTTGTTTCAAATTCCTTGATGCACTTATAAGCTACCGATTTTATTTTTTCAGTTGTAATCTTTTTTATTGCAACAAATTAAAATGGGTTATAATTAAATCATTCTTCGTCCACAAAAGGTTTAGATTTTTTTGAACCATATTTTTATTTATATGATTTTAAAATATATATATTCTTCGTATGAATATGAATCAGAATCCAGCCTACTAACCAAATGATATCACAAAGTAGTTCCGATTCATCACATGAGAAGATAGTCTAGATCCGAAATGTTTCGAAGAGAACCTAGATCCATACTAAATGCATCCTTAATCAATCAGGACATAGGTAAGATCTCCAATATGCCACTTTGATGAATCATATCTATAAAAACATTCTATTCAAAAAAATATTTATCAAAATATGCTATCTTAAACAATAGTCGCTCCATTCTACTCCCTCCATCCCAAATTGTAAGACGTTTGACTTTTTTGGCCCCAAGTTTGACCACTCGTCTTATTCAAAAAATTTGTGCAAATATAGTCAAATTTAAGTCATTCTTGAAGATTTTTTATTAATAAACCAAACCACGACGAAAGAAGTCATACTTTGTACAAAAGTCAAACGTAGTTTTGGAAGAAAATGCTCTGTGTGATACTTGTCGACCGAGACTCCCAAGAATGAAGTTATTGTAATATTCTCACTCCCACCCATAATTAAATGCTCCAATATAAGAGATATGGCTATATAGCTACATTCAATAGGGCTTTGGATGGTCATTTACTCATTTTTCATTTTCTTGAAAATCAGTACTTGCTTCTTTTTGTACATAGTGTGTTATGGATGATTATTATAGACCAGAGGTAATAGAAAAGGGATTATATCTATTATTGATGGTCAAAGCAAAGAAAAAGGCTCGGCCAATAACCACCGTCCAACTTTTGCGTGATTTTCTCTTTATGTAATTTCAAGGAAAGTCATGCAAAAATCATGACCGTGTTGAGAAATTAAAGGAAAAATGAATATTACGACATTCTTGGTCAATTTCATCTTCTCGTTCTCCTGGTTTGATGACTTCATAAATCAAGATAAAGTCATGAAAATGTCATCTGATGATGAGATAGAGAAAAATGGTCATGGGTTATACTTGGACATTTTGCTTTTCTCTTCTCTTGATTTGCATAACTTTATTTGCTTTAAAATTTGAGGAGCTAATAGTATAATAGAATGAGTGGTGGACTAGTGGTGTATGGACAGCTTTAAATCGTTTCTCAAAGAACTTTGCTAATGGAGTTACGGAACTCTCGCCCATGAATTTATTATCAAGAATACTTTAATTTATGCAGGTAAAAGTTAATCAGAGGCTCACGCATCGTAATTAGCAACAAAATTATAAGTTTTTTTTTTGTCTATGTGGTAATGTAGTCATCGTACTATCGGTTTCTTTTTTGAAACTAAATGATTGTTGCCCTGGCAAAATAGTTAGATATTTGTTTTTCTCAAGCAATGATTGCCGCCACAGGTATGTATAGATATGATTCATTATATGATGATTACATTGAATTCTTTGCTCCGTTGTCGTGAGCTTACAATTATTCCTACGTTAGTCAAGTTGGGACTGGATTTTGTCTAAGAAACTTTTGCTTTAGATAAAGTAAATACTATCTAAGAAAAATGATGGAACGAATAGCTAGCTACAGTATTTTTTGGTATGGAGTCTAGAGTCTTGCACTGCGTTGAAGGTCGAACGAGAAACTTGAATTTCCTTGCTCCTTGATGAATGAATTTCTTTTGGCACGGCCTCTGATTGCAGCCTCTGGTGGACCATAGCATCGTGTCAAGCTGACGCCAATTGTCACGCCCAGAACTTGTTTAGATTGCCTCAAAATTCTAAGTTTTTTTACTCTTTTTCCATCACATTAATTTTTGGACACATGCATGGAGCATTAAATGTAGGTAAAAAAAATAACTAATTATACAATTTGGTTGTAAATCACGAGATAGTAGTCGATCGTATTAAGTTTGTCAAATTACAAACGAAACGCGTCTTCTGATGTTACAAAATTTACGATCTAAATAAGGCCCCAGCCAATTATCTGGTCTCCGTGACATGGAGGAATAAGAAAAGGCTTTCTGAAAAGGACCCCAAAGAAACAAATATTATCTAGTACTCTATTTGTGACACCTCATCAAAGTCCAAGCACGCACTAGCGGTATTATTTTGGTCGGCGGTTTAAGCTGGCACCGTCCAAAGAGTGTTGTTTTTGTACCCTACCCAGCATTTGATTAAATAAGGTTTCTCATCAATCATTCAAACTAAACAAATTGAAGCCCAACCAATGCTTCCTCTCGGTCTTCACAAGAGAGGAACTAGGCTGTGAATGTGATGAATTTCATGAAAAGATTTTAGATTTGATGAGGAGGAGTTTTATGCAAAGTGGCGTGCTGTGCGGGCGGGATCTTGGGGGAATCTTGATCGGATCTACCGCTCCCGCAGCCCGCAGGCCGCACGGTGCGAGTAGCCGCCGCCGGCGTTGCCTGGGAGGCCTCTCTGTACGTTCTGCTCTGTCACGAGCCCATCCACTGGTCAACTATTGCGAGCTCTGTAGCCTCCAGGTCCAGGACACATGGGTCACATGCACTGCATCTACTAAAAAGGAAGAACGGATCCGGATTCGAAATTAAATGAGTACGGACTACATGACTGGTTCGTATTTATTTAGGTTTGAAAGAAATACTGCTGTCTGATTCACATAAACAATGTCCATATAAGGGGGCTGACCAGCCAGCCTAACCAGCCAGCCTCAGCCGATCACGCTATCAAAGCAGAAATATGGACGAAATCGACGCTTTTCCAATTTGGTCAGGTTTCACTTGGAAACGAACTGACCCTCATCAAAGATGGCAAATTTCTAAATTATAGTGCTACTAGATAGAAGCATTAGACGTGTGATTGAGGGCTCAAACTGTTGCGTCCAAATATCCCTAGACCCTAGGTGTTGTTGGCCTCTGGGCCAATCCGTCGCTAATACTCCAATTAGAAGCCTGACTGATGCATGCTGTTTGTTTGGAGTAATTTGGAGGAATCTGGATGAATTTGAAGAAATTTGTGAGAGAGTGAACAGTATTTTCAACCGTAAACCATGTTTTTCCGGCTGAAATTCAGGCAGCCGAACAGCCTCAATACATAAAATCTTAATAAAAAAATCTCAAATATATAAAAGATTTACGTATCATTATAATTAAGATACAAGAGTTACCATACAGACGACGCGCTTCTGACGAGCGTCTAGAAGGTCTATAGGCCGGAGGCTATACCGTCCCAGTGCACAGATTCAATCAAGTTTTTTTGATATACATATATTACATACACAAAAGTTTCGATCAAGTCTCAATCTCATCAGACATGAGGGACACATTATCTATCGTGACGCTTTTGTCTAGTAGCGCTAAAATTGTTTAATCAGGCAGGAGATGACAATTGACGACATTGGCCAAATTACATCGGTGTCACCATTAGCATTAGCATAGTATAAATTAAATAATAATAAAGGTATATAACGCGAGGTGGTGGAAAGATCCCTTTTGGCCTTCCTATTTATTAGAGATGCAATCGGCGAAGTTGATTGACCCGCCAACTTAGACCAACTCCCCTCCGTCTCGAAACGACTGGACCCACATCTAAAAAATTAAATAATTTCAAATTCAACTAAATATATATAAAAATAATGATTCTGTACATAACAATTATCACTAAATCAATGGTGGTATATATTTCACAAAAATATAATGCATTTAAAGATATAAATATTGATGCTATTTTTTTATAAATGTAGTTAAATTTAGAATTATTTGATTTTTTAGAAAACAAGATTTTTATTTTTATGTTTTATTATAAAATAGAGGTACGATTAGTAGTATATACCACCCTCTTCGTTCTAAATTATAGGTCTTTTGACTTTG